GAAATATCAGCTTTAGAAGCACAAGGGCCCCTTCCACACAGCTGTATAAAATGCACCTGCTTTGAACTGGGTTATCTGAGTCCACACTGCCATATAAACCAGTTCAAATCAGGTAATGTGGGATTTTATACAGCTGTGTGGAAGAGGCCTTAGTCTCAACTAGAACATATGGTAGCTCTTGAATGAACTGTACTTACATACACATTGGTTAGATCTTTTTTCATGTATAAAGGTTGACCCAATAAATTCCCATTTATCAATGGGTTCTCTTCTAGTGGGAATTAACAAGTGGAACTGGGCCAATGTCTTCAGGAGCCATTCACCTGGAAATACCAATGGACTGACATTTTAGGTGTCCTTATACGAACCGACCACAAGAGGGCTCTCCTATTGCACAATACATACATGATCGGAATAGAGAAGTCAGGAAGCTTGTCTCATTCAAATTGATTGTGCCATTAAAAAGAAATCTAAAAATCAACATAGAATTGGAAGGGCCATCTAGATCCAGGTACCAATGCAACCAGATTGACTAATATCACACATTAAGTTAATTGCATATGATTTTCTCAGGTCTGCAATTATTGGGTCTGATCATTCTTCAATTCAGGTCCTGAATGGTTTGAAAATGTTGAGTCACGCTTCTTGTGTGCCTTCATGTTACTTCAGACTTAAAGTGACCCTAAGGAGTACCTATCACAAGAGTTTTTTTTTCCATGGCCATGGTGACAATTTGAACCCAGGTTTCCCAGAGTCCTAGTCCTATTGGGAAAATTGATGGGTTCATGAAGGCACAGGGCAGCATTTCATTATTAATTGAGAAGAAGACAGAGATGGGACTGACCTACCCTTCCTTATCCATAATAAACTGTACAATCTCTGAGCCAGAAGCTGTACATACATGCAAGTAGCAGAAGTAATGGCTGATGTCAAACATGTCTGAGAAGGGGTTGAATCTACCTGAGATCTTAAAGTTTATGGGTAGATGTATGTTTTCCAGGCTGCATGACCATGTTCCAGAAGCATTCTCTCCTGATATTTCACCTGCATCTATGGCAGGCATCCACAGAGGTTGTGAGGTCTGTTGGAAACTAGGAAATGGGGTTTATATATCTGTAGAAAATCCCATTTTCCTAGTTTCCACCAGACCTCACAACCTCTGAGGATGCCTGCCATAGATGAAGGTGAAACGTCAGAAGAGAATGCTTCTGGAACATGGCCATGCAGCTCGGAAAACACACAACAAACCAGTGATTCCAGCCATGAATGCCTTCAACAATACCTTAAAGTTTCTACTCTTGAGTTTTAAAGATAATAATAATAAGAATACACTTTATTTACTGGGTTGCTGGGAGTTTTCCGGGCTGTATGACCATGTTCCATAAGCATTTTCTCCTGTTATGGAACATGGGCATACAGCCTGGAAAACTCACAACAACCCAGTGATTCTTGCCACGAAAGCCTTCAACAACACGTTTTATTTATATTCCACTATATCTCCCTGGAGGGACTCAGAGCAGATTAGTTTTACATATATATAAGGCAACCATTCAGTGCCCTTTTTACACAGTAAACAACAATACCAATACACAGACAGAGGTAAAGGCCTTCCCTTTCCATCTTCGGCATTAGGAGGCAATGCTTAACTCCCTCCGTGTGTGTTTGTGTGTGTGTGTGCTCTTGTTCCATTTTTCCATATCAAGGAGCCTATTGTCCATAGACTTCTCCAGCTGTGTTGCCGGCATTTCTGCATGGGGCACCCTTTTAACTCCCTGCTGCGGTGGTACCTATTGATCTACTCACATTGCATGCTTTCAAACTGCTAAGTAGACAGAAGCTAGGGCTGACAGCTGGGAGCTCACGCGTGGCTTTGAGCTGCTAACCCTCTGGTCAGCAGATTTCCTGCAGCTAGAGGTTTAACCCGCCGCGCTACCATGGCCTCCTTCAACAAAATACTGAACTGATTTCATTGTTAAAGATGAGGATCTTGTATAATTAATTTAACATTCAGACTAAAATCCCGAGAAGATTCATAACCATTGAGTAACAGCGGTGAAATACTAGCAGGAGTGCCAGGGGCTCTTAGTGGTAGGATTTCGCAAGTGGCAAGCCCTGACACTGGCCCACGGTCTGTTACTTAACCAGAGGTTTCTAAATATCAATGTAATATCCTTTGAGGAATGATCTTGCTATGATGCTATTAGCAACTGCAATAGAGTAGAGCAGCCCAAGTGAGGAACTTGAAATTCCTTATTACATTGTTCCGGTACATGTTTCCAAAACCTGAACATTACAGCTCTCTAGCAAAGAATTCACATCTAACAACGTATCTCATCAAAGTATAAACTGCAGGATTCCAATAGGATGGAGCCACAACAGCTAAAATCATATCGGACAACTAGTATAATGATGAAGCATATATAGACTTTGAGAGTGATCAACATAAAGATAGCAACAAAGCAAGTGAAAGAGATTACCTAAGATTTTACATGTTATTTTTGAACCATCGGGAGATGGAAAACTTTACCTATTTACCAATAAATGCTAATTTGCTCTCAAGTATTATTACATGTTTATCCTGCCCATCTTCCAAGGAGTCCAAGATACAAGTTCCTATTATCCGCACAAGAAAACATTAAGGTAGGTTATAATGGTAACTAAGCTTTCCAGATGTTAGAAGAATGATGGTAGTTCATCAACATCTGGGAGGCCTATGTGTTTTGCTACTAAGTTTACTCTAGTGCAGTGTACTATGGCAAAGAGCCATGCTGGATTAGAACCCAGAATATCAGAATTCACCTTTCCAACTCAGCATGAGACCAACTGCTCATTAAACCTATGATCACTATGTAAGAAATAGCTTGTCACTTACTTACTTGGGCGATCCCTCATAGTCTGAGGATGATAGCCCTCCAAGTGTAGTGACTTGGCGGTGGATATGTAGGTGGCTGTGGAGACATATTCTTGATCCACATGTTCTTCCATAGTGAGGACACCAGTTTCCAGGTGGAAGGCTGTCCCAGTCAGGGTTGGCTTGATGCACCTTACTCTTGGCACATTTATCCCTTTTGGCCTCCATTCATGCCTCTTCAAATTCCACAGCACTGCTGGTCACATCTGACTTCCAGTTGGAGTGCTCAAGAGCCAAGGCTTCCCAGTTCCTGGAGTCTATGCCAGTTTTTAAGGTTGGCTTTAAGCCCATCTTTAAATCTCTTGTACATTACGATTTCTGTTCTTGAGTTGGGAGTATAATAACTGCTTTGGGAGACATTGATCAGGGTACTCCTTTGATTGATCAGCCAGAAGAAATAATATGGGCAAGGAGGAAATGTTCAAACTCCACGGTTATTATTCACTAGAGATTCTGTTTGCTTGCTGTATTAAAAGGAAAACTTGAGGGCTCTGACAGCACTGTTTATATTGCCAGTCTTTGTGCTGGCACTGGCTTATGAAGGATACTGGGTGATTATTTTCATCTACCATCTCATTATTGGATGATAAGGCCAGGGAAGCATTGTTCAGTTTTCCTTAAAAGCATCAGGGTTCGCCATTCCACAGAAAAGGAAAAATGGAAGATGTGTTGTGTAGGATTTGTTTCTTTGGCTTTGTGTAGGATTTGTTTCTTTGGTTTCATGTTGCATCATGTTCTTCTCATGGCTGTAGAACAGTTGAAGGTGTGTAGTAAGCAGATACATGGCACTTTAGGAAGTAATGCACAGGAGGACCCTGAAGAGAACAGGTAGTCAACTTGGAAGTCAACAACTATGAACAGTGATTATGGAAATTGTGTTAAGTTTTTTCAAAACATACTTGAGAAAGAGAAGCTGTGTCTTTCTGACCTACAGCATAACCCCTGTATCCCATGTTCCAAGGCCTTACTATTCTCTTATGCATGAGGAACCACCCATTGAAGGACTACGAAGGAAAAGGCCCACAGTACAGTGAAAACACAACCAGTGGTTAATGACTTGACAACTATGTGTGATCGGGCATTGTGAATTTTCTCACAGAGGCCGTATCTCCCATCTTCTACCATCCTAGGCCAAATCTCTTTTTCTTTTTTAAAATAGCATTATAAAAGAGGATTACAGTAATAAGGGCTGAATTAAGACCCCTCATAAAATACTGAGGCAGGTCCTCCAATGAGGTCCAGGGAAACCGAAGGCCTGCCACCACCCCATCACTTGCCTTGACACCTGGTTGTCCAGCTCTCCATTCCAGTCACTTGTAAAACTCTCTTCCCTACAGGAGTTGAAGGCTTTGATGATTTAGAGCTGTGCTTAGTGCTTGGGTGTGAATTGTGGCTCCCTGCCACCAACACCGAGTTACTGACAAAGAGGAGGGACAGAATTGTCCCTTCTGAACTCAGATGAAAAGATGAAAAAGGGGACGGGGTGAATAAGGAGGACTAGCGCTATGAAGATCTAGCCTTTCCTTTGGGATCTGCACCGTCCATCAGTTCCCACTGAATCTATGCACTGAACTGAGATGGTCATCTAAAACAACAATGGTGCAACATCTCACTCAGGAAATAGCTCAAAGCCCAAAAAATCTTTTCCAGTGATCATTCACATTAAAAAATAATGGTGTGATGACCAACCACACCATTCAGTAGCTTCAATTACTAGCAGGCTAATCTATGGAAACAACTATGGAGGCAAATTAGTACAATTACCACATAAAAGCTATAGTTCTGCATCTCCTGAGTAGATCAAAGAGTCTCTTGACTCCTCAATAACCTCTACCTTGAGAAAAAGAGTTTTCTTTACAACCACATCAAGCCATTTTTGAGCCTATTTGCTAAGTGAAGCAGGTGGCATCCCACAGTCAAGCCTTCTCAGATTGTTCTTAACACCTGCCATTCAAAAAAAAAAAAAAACCCTCTAAAATGGAAGCACTACACAGCATTCAGGCAGATTTAACATACGTACCACTTCAAAATGACAATTTCCCACCATTGTGATGTCAGCCAAGTACTGTATTCACAAAAGACCCAAAAACATGTTTTAAAGTTTTATTAAATGTTAGAGACCACAGATATATTTGTTTTAAAAGCAACACAGAGCAGAAACAACCAATGGAGGCAAATCATGTTCAAGGTTAGGAGCCCCGGTGGCTCAATGGGTTAAACCTTGTGCCAGCAGGACATAAGACCAACAGGTCGCAGGTCCGAATCCGGGGAGAGTTCAGGCGAGCTCCCTCCGTCAGCTCCGGCTCCCCATGGGGGGACATGGGAGAAGCCTCCCACAAGGATGGTAAAACACCAAACTTCCGGGCATCTCCTGGGCAACGTCCTTGCAGACAGTCAATTCTCTCACACCAGAAGCGACTTGCACCTCACACCAAGTTGTTCCTGACACACACAAAAATTCAAGTTGGGTAAGGGAACCTGTCTGTCTGTGCAAATGCTGGACTTCCTAGTTAGAATTGAGTTGTATTTCCGCCAATCTTTTCATTTGTGAATGCTAACGGAGGAGTAGACAAAGTGTGGTCCTCAAGATGTTGATGTACTGCAATTCTCAGCATGCTTGCCATTTGCTATGCTGGATAGGATAAATTTCGGAGTTTCCAAGAGGGCATAATAGGGTCAGTTTTCACACCCATATTCCAGGACGCACAGTATGTGGTTGTTTTTGTGTGTCTTCAAATCATTTATGACCTATGAGAACCCTACGGCAATCCTATCGCAGGATTTTTTTGGCAAGATTTATTCAGATTGGGGTTGGCTTTGCCTTCCCCTGAGATGCATTCAAGTTTACCCAGTGGATTTCCATTGGGGTTGAACAGGGATGTGAATTCTGGATTTCTAGTGTCCTAGTCCAACACTTCTGAAATAAAGGGTGCCCTTGCTAAGGTCCTAACTCTGGCCTTGATTTCATCAGAAATCTTTAAATATCTGAAGGGTTGTCAAACAATCCTAACACCTAATCCAATGGATTTAAATTACAAAAAAGAGAATCCAATTAAAACTGAAATTAAAATCTGTTCAATGGGGGACTAGACTATCTCTGAAAATAAGAGACTTCCCTTCATTGGAAGGTTTTAAAATGAGGTGAGATAACCACTTATGGAGAGGGATTCCTGGAGCTCAGTTCCTGTATCCAAGTCCATCCTCCTCCATCATCTTCAGCCCCATCCAGAACTAACCGGGAGTCCTTGACATAGTACCTCTGCTTTTGATGGCTCTCAACAGAAAACAAGGTACTTATCCTTGCAACAGACCTCAAGATAGTCATAAAAAGGTAAAGGTAAAGGTTTTCCCTTGACAATAAGTCTAGTCGAGTCTGACTCTGGGGTGGGGCTCATCTCCATTTCTAAGCCAAAGAGCCAGCGTTGTCCGTAGATGCCTCCTAGGTCATGTGAACGGCATGACTGCATGGAGCACCATTACCTTCCCACCAAAGCGGTATCTATTGATCTACTCACATTTGCATGTTTTCTGTTAGGTTGGCAGAAGCTGGGGCTAACAGCGGGAGCTTGCCCTGCTCCCCAGATTTGAACCACCAACCTTTCGATCAGCAAATTCAGCAGCTCAGCAGTTCAACCCTCTGCACCACCGGGGGCTTCCAAGATAGTCATATAGCTGTCCAAAAGAGAGAGAAAGCACTTCCATGACTAGGAAAGGCGGCAGCTTTCACAACACCAAAAAGGATGGTGCCTTTGCAAAGTGCTTGAGAGTGTCTTAAAAACCCATTCTTTAAAATCTGAGCATTCTCCATCCTCCTATTAGATCTTTAAAAACAGTGTTCAGTGTGCAAAGTATTTCACAACAGTCTCTTATTTGTGTAGTGAGGTAGGTTTTCAATTCTTTAGGTTGCTCTCCTTACAATACCACTAAAGCCAATGAAATTCATTCAGAAACGTGGGCTTTTCCAAGGCGAGAGCGTCAACACCCAGCAGCACCAAAAAGAACTAGCGGTTCACACAACCACCTCCTTTAGTACCCACATCTCCTTGATCAAGGCATTGGGCAGGCCTGAAGTGCAGCATTCAGGAGGCGTCCCGGGTCTGCTCCCCATCTTTCTCTCACCAGTCCCTCTCTTGTGGCTCCCGGTAAGGTAGGCCCAGAAGCAAGAACACATCCTTCTCAGTGGGAGTGGGCAGAACATGGCCTGGCACTGTTTTGAGGCCACCGTGCCCACGTACCACACCACTGTTGAGGGCATGCTCTGACAGACTCATGCCCTTGGTCTTGGCCAGAGCGCGCATGGAGCGATTGAAGTGGGCTGAGCCAGTGAAGTAGAGCAAGGAACAAGCAAACTCGCTGTAGGGCACCACAATGATATCCAGACGGCGGTGGCGCCTGTCTGGGCCTGGCAGACGGCAGACCCCAAGGTACTTTTTTTGGTTTCCACTGTCTTCCTGACTCACTAGGTCATCTGTGAGAAAACCTGAGGAGAAAAGCACAAGCATGTAAGTAAGGATAGTAGTTGTTATCCTCCAGAAACTTCATGTTTTGTGGCTGCCACAAACTATGTTGAATTGGTTGAGACTCTATAAGAAAAAACTACAAAAAAATACAAAAACTATAGCAAAATATGCTGCGGGATGTTCCATAAAAATTAAGTTTTTGCAGTTTAATAAGCATTTTCCACATTTTTATGATAGAACCAATTAGGAAATGACATTTATAACCCAGGAACAAAAACTGTGTTACATAGTGATCTAAATGAATACATTTATTTACATAACTATGAAACTTCATGGTGTTGACTGCTGTGACATGAATTACCCACTCATAACCACAAGCATTCAAATCCTAAGGGAATATCTTTCCAGAAAGGATGTCAGGCACTTAGCTAAGCCAGGATCTTGAAGAAGGATCCACAAACACTTCAACACCATAACTCCTTTGTTGAAACAGCTTCACTGGTTACTGGTCTGTTTTGAAGCAGAATTCACAATGCTGAATAGGGTCTTTGAATTATGACCTGGGTCTGGACTATCTGAAATAGGTTATCTGCCTATATGATCCTGAATAGATTATATGCCCCTCAAAGGAGGACGTTTTCTCAGTCCTCTGGTGCTCATCTCCATTTCTAAGCTGAAGAGCCAGTGTTGTTCATAGACACCTCCAAGGTCATGAGGCCAGCTTGACTGCATGGAGCAGCGTTACATTCCCACAGAAGCGGTACCTATTGATCTACTCACATATGCATGTTTTCGAACTGCTAGGTTGGCAGGAGCTGGAGCTAACAGTGGGAGTTCACCCTGCTCCCTGGATTCGAACCGCCAACCTTTCAGTCAGAAAGTTCAACAGATCAGCAGTTTAACACGCTGCATCAGGGGGGCAGGATATAAATACAATTAAGTTAAAAGCAGTCTAATCTCTGACAAAAACAACAAAACACTCAAGATGGCATTAATTAAGTGATTCATATTCTCCTTATTCACTGGTTGACTTTGCATTTGGAGAGTATTAAAAAGTAAAAAAAAGTGACATTAAGACTTTTAACGTTTTTGTTAATGTTTTTTGTTCAAGAAACAGAATAATTTGTACTGTTAAATTGGAGCAAACAATACAGCCTTCCTTTCTTATGGTTTTTCAAACAATGAGCCCATGATCTAGTCCAGCTATATGTAGGAGGGAAAGAAAGCTTCTTCTAATAAAGTAGCAAGTATTAGATATTTTCTAATCAGGATGAATTGCCAAGATCAACTTTTTCTTACTATTTCAAATTGTTTAAAGGTGCAAAGAAGCTAGAAAACTCGTCGTCTATCCCCCCCCCCCCCCCCCCCCAGCCCTTGGAGCTTAACTGACAGTCCAGTACCCTGCTTCCGAAGACAGTCAAGTAGCTTGCTGAATACTCCTTCGTGGGAGTGTCCATCAGGGTGAGTGACCAGCACATCTACGTCCCCACAAGTGGACTTTCCCCGCCGAAATGAGCCACACGCAACACACACTAGCCCAGGTTGGATAGACTGTGCTGCTTCTCTAACCTTGAAGAAAAGGGAGATCAAAGCAATGAGTTGAGACACATTATCATTACAAGTTTCTTTTCGTTACTACCCAATGAGATAATTCAGTTGCCCTGCACTATTGTGTTTGCTATAAATAAATAAGAAGTGTTATTTCAATACAAACATGTATTTAAACTCAAATACATAGAAAAATAAAAGATAAATACTGGAGCTGCCATCACTCAAACTCTGTATCAACAAAGATGAATTCCATCATTTGCACTAATCATGGAAACACAGCAGACTCCAATTAAAAGTATTCTGCTCCATCTAGCAACACTGTAAATTTACCATAAAGTGCCCTTGAACTCAAAAACTTACTTCAAACCTACAAGTGAACACGAAGATTCTCACGATGGTAAATGACAAAAGGGAAGGAATCAGCCATAGCAGAGCACCTGACGAAGCCACCTGAACACAGCATATTATTTGAGAACACATAAATGCTGGACCACTCTAACAACCACCAGACTACACAAAGAAGCCATTGAAATCCACAAGCATGTGGACAATTTCAACAGAAAGGAATAAGACCATGAAAAGGAACAAAAACTGACTACCAGTATTTAAAAAGCATGGGCCACCGTGGCCACATCTGGCTTCCCAAGGTACAGGCGCAACTGGTGCACAAGTTTTAATTGTGCGAAAGCTCCCCTGGCCACCACTGAAACCTGAGGTTTCAGGCTGAGTGATGAATCCAGGATCACTCCCAACCTGCATCTTTCGGGAGAGTGTAACCCCATCCAGCACAGGCTGTAACCGTATACCCTGTTCGGCCTTATGACTGACAAGGAGTCAGGATTCAATTTCTTGTCTGGATTCAATTTCAATTTGTTCACCCTCATCCAGATCGTCACAGATCGTTCAGGACCTGAACAGCCTTCTTAGCAGTAGGTGGAAAGAAGTGATAGAGTTGGACGTCATCTGTGTACAGATGACATCAAATTACAAAACTTGGGGTGATCTCCCATGGTGGCTTCACATCTACATGAAGCTGCTGAATGAAAGAATGAACTTCATCAGTGTGTTGATGAGTTCCATGTCTTCTCACAAATGAAAAACAGACCAAGTATAGGGACTCACACAACGAATTTGGGCCCAAAGATGAGTTCTTCATCCAGCAGCATCCCAAGACCGGTGCGACTGATGGCTTCATTCAAGCATAATTTGAAGGGGATTTGGGTATGTAGGATTATGGGCCTTATGGTGCCAATCACCCACTTTACTAGACAAAGATGTGATTGCTGCTTCAGGACATAAAGGGTTCATGGGGGAGTGCGAGGCAGTTTGGAGGGTGAGTACCCCTTGTCAGTCTCTAGGATCATCCTTCATTAGTGAGAGATAAACCCATTAACCTTTGCCCTGCAACATATGGGGATAGCTTTCATGGCTTTTCTAATGTAGATCTGGTTCTTTCGCATTTTCAATTAAGTTTTCTTGAAAGCAGCCAGTTCCACATAGCACCTTGGATCTCATGACAGTCGGCGGCTAATCCCTTCATCCTCTTGTCTCTTCACCCGAGGTGGGCAAGAGAAGGGTAATCTCATCAAACCCACAATGGGTCAACTCCGTTTGCAGAAGAGTCCCCAAAGAACTTTAATCCTATGTCAGGAGTGATGCCCTACCTGGCAACCGTGTATTCTTCCAGGGCAGGCACTGTGACTGACTGACAGTGTTACGCTGCCCAGTGCTGCCATGGCAATTTCCGCCTACAGAAGAAGCAATGAAAACACTTCTTGTGGTTTTGATATTTATCCACCACTCAAATGTTTTTAGTAACCCAAGGGCCCAGGACACGATTCTGGCAAAGTCCAGAGAAAGGAAGAAAGAGGACTTGCTTAGACAGTTAGAAATGCTTCCTTTCCTCACCACAAGGAGCACTACAGAGACTTAAAAGAGGATTTGCACTTCTAGCCTGCCATGAGGTGGTCTAAGGACTGGCAGAACAAACCAGAGGTTTCTAAAACAGATCTTATTATCTTACAAGCAAAAAAAGTTAAGATATATTGAATTTGAAGTCAGCTATAGAGTTCATTCACCTGGAGAGTATGGAAAGGTTATTTATTTATCGTGTCAGAAGCGAACCAAGGGTGCAGTTGTAATATATTTAAAAACACAGTTAAATAAACTGGGCATTATACTAAATGTCCTTTGACCAGAAGCTGACCACTTGAAGTGCCTCTGGTGTTGCTATAAGAAAGTCCTTCATTGCGCACGTGGCAGGGCTCAGACTGTATTGTAATAGGCTGTCTGTGGTTTGCTCTTCTCCACACTCGCATGTGGTGGACTCCACTTTGTGGCCCTATTTCTTAAGGTTGGCTTTGCATCTCGTGGTACTAGAGCGCAGTCTGTTCAGCACCTTCCACTTCACCCAGTCCCCTGTGTGCTCAGGAGGGAGTCTCTCATTCAGTATTAGCCATAGCTTTTGGTTCCAGGTTTTAGCCTGCCACTTTTGGAATCTTGCTTGCTAAGGTGTCCCTACGAGTATCTCTGTAGATCTTATAAAACTATTTCTTGTTTAAGGTGTTGGCATGTTGGCTGATATCTGAACAGAGGATGGGCTAGAGATGTCAGTGCCTTGGTCCTTTCATTACAGTCTGCTACTTCCTGGCAGATGTCAGGGGGTGCAATACCGGCTAAACAGTATAATCTATCCAGTGGTGCGGAGAATAGACATCCTGTGATAATGCAGCATGTCTCATTAAGAGCCACATCCACTGTTTTAATGTTGTGAGATGTGTTCCACACTGGGCATGCATATTCAGCAGCAAGCGCAAGGGCAGATATGACTTCATTGTGTCTGGTTGTGATCCCCAGGTTGTGTCAGTCAGCTTTCATATGATATTATTTCTAGCATCCACTTTTTGTTTGATAGACAAGCAGTGTATCTTGTAAGTCAGAGCACAGTCTTGGTTTCCATCTTTTCACACCTGAGGTCTCACCTTTGACTTGTCAGGAGGCTCAACTAGGAGGCCAAGGTAGTTAATAAAATTTTTATTAATGAACTGATTGACTGAACATTAAATGGATTGGCAAAATGTAACAACATAGCACCAAATTCAGAGGTGGGGGCATAAGCAACAAGAAGGGAAGTCATACCTTTTCTGCCTTAAAGGTGCCCTAGCCACAGTCCTTACTCAGAAACTTACTGTCTGCTCAATTTCAGCAGCTTCTTCCCTCGGCATACGCTCCACAAAGTCCTCGTAGTGCTTCAAGCCAATGGCCTGTTGGCGAGTGAGTGAGGCCTTCGAGCGGACATCATCCAGAGTGCGGAAACCCTGCCCAAAGTACACAGGAAACTCAAGAGAGCAGAACTTCCTTTTTAGTAATCCCTCCTAAGAACCATTCTAGTACACTGGAGGGCTTGAATTTTTTTTAAAAAAAGGAACCTATCTTCTGCCCAATAGAAAGTCTTGGGATTTAGCCCTTCACTGGGAACTTTTTTTCATGTCAGTAATGACTTCGCTTCTGGTGCAAGGACGTTGCCCAAGGGATGCTGGGATGTTTTATCAGCCTGTGAGAGGCTTTTCTCATGTCCCCACATGGGAAGATGGAGCTGACTGATGGGCGCTCACCCCGCTTCCCGGATTCAAACCGCCAACCTTTTGGTCAGCAGTCCTGCCTGCACAAGGGCTTAACCCATTGCGCCACCGGGGGCTCCTATAAGCAGTAGTTGCTGATCCATCATCACTGGGATCAACCAGGTCAATGCTCCAAAACTGAGGGCATCTTTGAAGGTTTGGGAGCAAACGGAAACCAAGTGTGAATCCAATGCAATCCTTTGCAAGTGGCCAGATAGAACCATGGTTGGTGCAACTAGCAAGGATATAATGCTGTTTCCGATTATGCAAAAAACAAGGCAGATGCAAGCAGCAATGAAAGATGATATTAAGAACACCGAGGAGAACATAATTGCAACTATATTTTCATAATGGAGCTGGTAAACCTCATAACACTGTGACACCAAAAATTACATGGTAGTCTTACTCAGAGTTAACTTCATGAACATGTAGATAATAACCACTGGCGTACTACAAATGAAGCCCACTTCCAAGGCAAATACTTTGAGACCTTTAACAGCATTAACTATGGTATTATTCTGGGTTACTTTGCTGGGATGGAACTTGGGAGGTGGTTTTACAGTGGTTCCATTCCTTTCTGGAAAGTGAAGCCCAGAATATGGTGCTATATTGTTTAAATCAGTGGTTCCCAACCTTTTTTTGACCAGGGACCACTTTGACCAGGAACCACTCTCCAACATTAGTACCAAAAGGGTTACGAATCAGTTTTTGGTCAACTTTAGATTCGGTTTGGTTATTTGGAGTGCTAATTCAGAAAATTGCATTGGATAGACCACATCAGCTCCAGTTTCTGGCACAGAACATATGCCATCCAGTTGTCGCCATCTGCTTGCCTGCAGAAAACTATATTTAATAATCTAGAGCTGATGTGGTAGTAGTAATCTTTCATAGATAGTCAGCCTCTCCCCTCCTGACATACCATTGCCTCAGCCCTATAAGAGGATTTCGCGAAACCAGTCACTCTCGTGCCTATGTGGTTTCGAGGTAACGATGTAGTAACAATGAGGCCGCACACCATATTTGCATTCTTGGGGATCACTGGCGATCCACAGACCACAGGCTGGGAACCACTGGTTTAAATTGTATACTTTAAATTTACAATTAAATCTATTTTTATAATTTACACTTGTGTTTTAGCTCATTTAAATATTGTTAATAGTTTAATTTTATTTTAATGGTGAACTTTTGTACATTCCACTCTTTTGTACCCAGTCTGAAAGCTGCCTTAAATTCCTGTTCTGGGGTAAAAGTGGGGAACAAACAAAGTTAAAAACAGTAAGAATGTTAATACTTTCTGACCTAAGTATCAAGATAAGTAATAATTCAGAGGTCACTTATAGCACATTCACAGTTATCTTTCATGCTAGAATCACTAATCTCACATTTAGTGCCTTGTAGCAATGCCACAGTATAATTATGATAACAAACAAATATATGGTAGCAACATGCAGGATCTTAGAGACTACGTGAGATAATTGAATTGACAGAACAAGCTTTCATAGACTAAATCTACTTCCTGAGAAGTAGAATATGGCAACAATTACTGCAGGGCTGATTACTGTAAAACAGGAGAGGACATTACCTGCTGGTACCACATCTGAGCTGTCTTCACTCCTGCTCCCCAGATATTGGAAAACACTTCCAGTGCTGATACACTCTCACTGATGTGGTCAAGCTTTCGAAGGTGGCCACTCTCCAGGATCTCCATAATCTTTTCTGCCATCTTCTTCCCAATTCCGGGGATCTTACAGGCTTCCTGAAATAAGACCATTAAACAATGTTTGGCAAAGGAAAAAAGTCTGCAAGATTGAATTACTATAAACAATGTATGTATATCTTCCTTAGGTTCAGAGGTTAGAAAAGTTATTTTTGGGACCAAAACCCTGATAATTTCCTAGCTGGACCAGGAATGCTAAGAGCTGTAGTTCCAAAAAGTAGTTCCATGCCCTTTCTAAACTGCCATATAATCCAGATTATCAAAGCAGAAAACCACATTATCTGCATTGAACTAGATTATATGAGTCTACACAGCCATATAACCCAGTTCAAAGCAGATAATCTGGATTTTATACGGCAGTGTAGAAGGGGCCTCACTTAGTTTTCAACATATTTCCTTAAATGGGATATTTAAACCACCCCATCTAAAGAAGCCACTCTTCCAAACTACCATTTAGATCAGGCATGCTCAAACTCCGGCTCTTGACCTGTTTGGGTCTCCAACTCCCTCAATTTCTGACCATTGAACAAGCTGTCCGTGGCTTATGGGAGTCAGAGACCTAAACAGCTGGAGGGCTGGAGTTTGAGGATTCTTGATTCAGATACTTAATAGACCTGTATATGTCCTTTTTTGTGTTGAACTCAAGACTATTTTGGGTTTCTAGTGAAAGGCTGCATGGTGTAGTGATTTGAGCACTAACTAGAGCACTGCTTCTTAAACTGTGGGCCCTGATCCCAAATGGGGTTCCCTGAGCTCAATGTGAATCTCAAAAAATTAGCAACAGGAAAAAGTTTCTGAATGCCACTTAGTGACTGTTTTAGACATTTACACAAATCTGTTGTGTAGTGTTAGTGAGCTCTTTAGAAGATGCTCTAGCTGTACTTCATAAAAAGGAAAACCAGTCTGTTTAGCCTTGCAAAAGCTGATTTTACATCTGTAAATGTTTGATTTTTATATCTATTTTATATACATCTATAACAGGGGTCACATTAAAAAAATGAGCAAAAAGGAGTTGCAAGTGGAAAATTTTAAGAGGCCCAGCTCTAGAGAACATTCAGCCATGGAAACCCACTGGGTGACCTTGGGCAAGTCAGAGTGTTTCAGCTTCAGGCCTCTTCTACACAGCTGAATAAAATCACACATTATCTACTTTGAACTGGAATATATCGCAGTGTGGACTGAGATAATCCAGTTCAAAGCAGATACTGTGGGATTTTCTGCCTTGATATTCTGTGTTAAAGGGCTGTGTGGAAGGGCCCTCATAGAAGACAAAAGTAAATTCCCTCTGAACAAATTTTGCTAAGGCAATCATCTTGAAGGCACACAATAACAAGACAATCTTAAACATTAAGGAACCAGTTGCAGCATGTTTTTGCTGCTTCTTCATACTCAGAGATTCTCTCTCTCTCTCAAAAAAAAAATTGGTCAAAATAGCAACAGAACAGTAACTGCTCACTCAGCAGTTGCTACCAATAACAGCAGCAGGCTATGATTACTTTATAGAGAAGATGCAATCCTAGCAAGAAAGGAATTTGTTTGGAAAGAGATCTTTCCCATTTACCTGATAAGATGTGACTGGCTTGTGGTAACTCTTTAGTGCGTTAATTGCTTTGGAGTAACCTAGAGACCTCCATTTGTCCCCTTGGACAGAGTACGCTTTTTCCAACAACCCCAGCTTCTCTGTAATGGACTGATTATGATTCATCTTCTTGCTTTCAGAGGACTGAGCACAAACCCACTTGCCAGTGGGAGGCACCGCCAGAGAACTGCCTGAGGAAGTGTTGTTAGGATTTTGGCCTGACTTCAGTGCTTCTAGTTCTCCCAGGGTGACCATACGGTCCTCTTCCTCCATTCCTTCATCATCTGAGATTACCTTTGGAGAGACGCAGAATACAGAGCCACAAAATACAGCTATCAAATGTCCAAATAGTTATGGTGCGAGCATATTGTGCACCAAGACAGAAATCCTTTTTTGTTTTAAAAGAAAACAAAAAAATTTTTGGAGTATTTTGCTTTAGACTGGTGAATAATAAAGTTCACATTACACTCCCCTGAAATAATCTCTAAAAACAGTAAAACTGAAGACTTTCATGTAAGATAATGAAGAAAGGGGCCATGAAGACAGTTCCATCTTGCCTCCAGTGTCATCAGTTGGGAGCCCCCCCCCCCCCCAGCACCAACCGCTGCTCTGAGATCAGAGTGAAGAGAGGGGCCAGGAAGGCAGTTCCATCTTGTCTCCTGCACTGTGCTTATAATCTAATATAATCTAATGTATATACATATAATATTGCTAATATTATAATGTAATACAATATATTACTACTAATAATAAAATGATATAATAATTATATATTATATTAAATGTAATATTACTAATAATATTACAGTATAATGTTATAGTACAATGTAATATATAATATTAATATTATGCTATGATAATAATATAATATATTGTATTAACTTTTTACTTGTTAGCTGCTCTGAGTCCCCTTCGGGGTGAGAAGGCCAGCATATGTCATAAATAAATAAATAAATAAATAAATAATGTCTCCGATCACTGCAATTCCTAGCCTTAGTATCTATGGCCCCTTCCACACAGATGAATAAAATCCCACATTATTTGCTTTGAACTGGAATATATGGCAGTGTGGACTCAGATAACCCGGTTCAAAGCGGATATTGTGGGATTTTCTGTCTTGATATTTTGAGTTATATGGGTGTGTGGAAGGGCCCTATGTCTGCTTGCAATGAGGGTGGAACTGGAGGTGACAAAACTATGTTCTAGGTTTTACTAATGTTGGTGGTTTCTTCTAGTTGTTTTTTTTTGCTTGTTCTTCATAAAGTAGAAAAGCCCATAGAAAAAAGTGACTCCATTTCTAACAAAATTTATATATTTAAGTGTAGTCTAAATGAGCTATAGTTTTAATATACCAAATGTGACCAGATTGTGTAATTGCTAGCCACTCTGAGTCCCTGCGGGGAGAAAAGTGGGGTAAAAATAATGAAAATAATAGTAATAATAATGTTATGCCCCAAACTGTATAATTGTATCATATTACCTACCTAATATATTTTATGTTCCTGAAGTATTGAAGTAATTTTCAATTTGTAAAGGAAATTAATATAGCAATTTTTAAAAAAATCTTGAAATTTCCATTTTATTTTGGGGAAAAACTCTTACAAAAAACTACCACACCAGCTTCAAAATATCTGGAAATTACATCTTTAGAGCGTGCTTGATATTGAGTAATTTCGTTAGGAAATTCTTGGTCAAAAATATTCAAAAGCCGCAAAGTAGAAAACTACTACTAAACCAACCCCTTTGTCTTTTTGCTCTCCTGAAGGTTCTACCACGCCGCAGGGAACGTTGGCCCCTGATTGTGTTTCAGCTTTTAACTCCAAGACGGCATTCTCCGTTTCAGGATGGATCGTCTTCACATCTAGATATTGCGATGGTTTCTTTGAATGGCCTTCTTCATCTATATACCTGACAAGAGTCAATGCACAACAAAACAAATTCACTGCATTTCAAGGCATTCATTCCCCCCTAACAATAAACTGAAGAAATCAGAAAAGGTGAGTAAGGAGGATAACCCTGTGGCTAGATATTAACTAGCCTCTACAGTGGTTTTCTAGAAGATGGAGCAAGCCCTCACCTCCAAGGGTCTATATTTTCAAATGCTTATCTTTCAGCTATTAAACACAGAAATGCAGGTTGAGTATACTGCATTTTATTCAAAATGCTTGGGATCAGAAGTGTTCTGTATTTCTAATTTAGGAATAGTTGCACATATATAATGCAATCTCTTGGAGATGGGGCCAAAAGTCAAAACACAAAATTCATTTATGCTCCATATACAATTTATTCTCATAGGCTAAAAATAATTTTATACACAATATTTTGTGTACAAAACAAGAGGCTGGGTGAATCTTTTTTCAGAAAAATTAATGTTTCAGGATTACAACTCATAATCTAGTATATTATATAATATTGATAATATTATTATAATGAAATACAGTATAATCCTACTAATAATACAATATAATAATATAGGAATATAGTAAGACTAATATATTAAATATAATTACTACTGCTAATATATAATGATATATAATGATATACTGTTTTACTGTTGTATATTTGTATATTTTAAGTTGTAATGTTTTTGACTGTGAGCCGCTTTGAGTCTCTGTGAGAAGAGATAAAGTGGGACAAAAATAAATAAATAAATAAATAAATAAATAAATAAATAAATAAAGCACTATGATCAAAAAGACAATTTCTGCCTGAGGTGATGGGGACTGTAATAAAAAAAACCCTAACCTTTCCAATCTCTGATCTTAATGTTTTGTATTTGGTGAATGTGTTTAGTTTCTTTGACACATATATAGAGAACAAGAGACCCAGCAGATGTTGAACTAGAGCTCCCATAATCTCTCATCACAAACTATGTTGTCCAGACCTTTCAGACATGACATGCCAGCAACAAGAGAGTCACATCTTCCCTGTTGTTGCTCAGTGAATTCATGCTGAGTCCAAATATTATAAACCACCCCCCACACACCACTTACTTTTTATTAAAAACATGAATTAAAATATGGACGTCCTACCATGAATCTCAGTAAGTATTTCAGTTTGCAAATAAAAAATAATCTACAACATCGAAGGGATTTGAGGAGTGCATTAGAAGGCCATTTCTGAAATTTCACATAGAATCATGTCCCTTCACATGAGTTATCTGACAGCCTTAATCTCCATTGAAGATAAAGATTTAATTATAACCATTTTTCATACACATGACCTGTTTATTTACTCATTCCCCATTCTGCTCCCAAAATGAAATTCAAAGCAAATTGTAACGAAGGTAAATAGAGAAAAAAAACCCTTTCAGCTGTTGCACTCCAGTTACTGTTTATGATGTCTTCTCTGTTGGAGACCCAATTGGTGCAATTTTTGGCATCATTCTGGTGCCAAGTAAAAACAAGGCTGTTCACTTAAGCCTTAAGGTCTCAATTGGTCTTGCACAAACCCAGACATGTACATGGTCTCATTTAAAAAGTTTTAAATCTGTCTTTTTAGAAAACTTGTTTAGTTGTTTAATATGTTTTAACCTTAAAATTAGTCAAGTTAGTGTTGTACATTGCCCCGAGATCTCTTGCCAGAGGGCATGATATAAATAAAAAGGTAAAGGTTTTCCCATGACGTTAAGTCTATTTGTGTCCGACTCTAGGGGGTGGTGCTCACCTCCATTTCTAAGCCAGAGTCGGCGTTCTCCGTAGACACCCCCAAGGTCATGTGGCCAGCATGACTTGCGTGGAGCAGTTACCTTCCTGCCAAAGCAGTACCTATTCATCTACTCACATTTGCATGTTTTCAAACTGCTAGCTTGGCAAAAGAAGATATAAATATATAAAAAACAAAAGAAGATAAAGCTAAAAACTAATGATAAAAATTATTATTCAGATGTAATTAAACATGTTCTTATATTAACATGCCGTTACATTCAAAAAGTGTAAAATTATTTTAAAAGTGGAGCCCAGCCCATACCCAACGAGTTACTTCATTTCGAATACATCTCTTTACACCTATTTGATCCCAAAAATACTAGTTCTAGAGAAAGCTGTTGTGACAGGAAGAAAGAAAAGAATCAAGTGGTATATGAATAGAGCATGTATGCATACATATAGTAATATTATAATAAATTATATCCTGCCATATAAAATCAGATGAAAATATAAAGACTCCTACTTCTCTGGAATGAAGAGGCTATAACCAGTAGTATCCAAAAGCTGCTGTGCTGAAATGCAGGAACTCAACCAGGATGCTTTTACCAGTTGCAATCCTTTGGGTAATTTGGTGAGTCGGAGGAGCCGGAACGCCCGCTCACAGTCCATGCCTTCGTCCACTATAACATGTGTCACCTCTGGGGAAATCTGGCTGCAGATGCTTCCCCCATTCTGGAGGATCTGTTTCCGGAAGATCTCAGCTCTGGCTTGGCCAACTCCAGCTTGCAGAACGTAGGCTGTGATGGGCTCCAGCCACCCTGATGATAAAAGACAAAGGTTCAACATAGTGGAGATCAGTTTCAAATCCTATCTTATGATTGACAGCTTGAAGCCATAAGGAGAATAAAGGAGTTTTGTTTTTGTTTTTTGTAGAGCACACAACCAATATATTAAAGTATAATAACTGTACAAATGTATACTTAATCGGAATTTCCCAAGTTATTACTCTCAAAAACAACTAATTTATATGACAAACTAGTTGTTCCTCATCATCTTAACAGAACAGGAACACTACCACGTAGCTTCTCTATATAAACATACCTTTTTTGTTCCCAGCTTCATCTTTCAGTACTTTTGAAGGCACGACTTTTGGTAAATCATCTCTTGTTTTTTTTCGTTTCGGGAAAGCTTTGACAATTCCTTGGAGCTCCATGAAACATAGATAACTGCTTCCCAGGGACAAGTACGCAACCTAGCTGGAAGTGAAGTTAAAGATAATGAAGAGTTTGTTTATTTAATGTATTGTTGAAGGCTTTCATGGCTAGAATCACTGGGTTGTTGTAGGTTTTTCGGGCTATATGGCTATATTCTAGAAGCAATCTCTCCTGATGTTTCGCCCGCATCTATGGCAGGCATCCTCAGAGGTTGTGAGGTCTGTTGGAAACTAGGAAATAATCTGGAAATCAACCCTTTATTTTTTTTCTCCAAATATTCTCCAATTCCAAATTTCTTTTGGAAAACCCAATGATATTGTCTTTGATTAATATGTGCTCTCATGTTAGCATCTAACATGACTCTGTGGTCAACTTCCATTATTATTATTATTATTAGTAGTAGTAGTAGTAGTATAATATTATTAGTGTTATGTTTATCTATACCCTGCTTTTTCTCTCCACGAAGTAGACTTGTCCATTATAGATTTGTGCTGGAGCACTTATTCTGGATCTACACTGCTGTATATCCTAGAATGTGATCCCAGACTTGAACTGGATTATATGAGGGCCCTTCTGCATAGCCATATAACTCAGAATATCAAGGCAGAAAATCCCACAATATCTGCTTTGAACTGGGTTATCTGAATCCACACTGCTATATATTCCAGTTCAAAGCAGATGTGGGCTTTTATTCAGCTGTGTCGAAGGGGCCTGAGTCTACACTGCCAGATAATCTGGGATCAGATCATGGAATATAGGGCAGTGTAGATCCAGCTTTTGAGACTGCACTTCTCTAGGCATTTGTTGATCCTTCAGATTGATCATGGACTTGCACTGGAGCAACTAGATTCCAACTCAAAGCAGATAATGTGGGATTTTATTCAGCTGTGTGGAAGGGGCCTAGGATCAGATGGTGGGATATAAGGAACCAAACCCCAGCAGATGGGGGGGGGGGGACTGTATCTGCATGGCAGGTCTAAGGGAGACCACTTTCACACAGTGGAATAAAATCCCACATTTTCTGCTTTGAACTGGAATATATGGCAGTGTGGAATCAGATAACCCAGGGCCCTTCCACACAGCGCTATATCCCAGAATATCAAGGCAGAAAATCCCACAATATCTGCTTTGAACTGGGTTTTCTGAATCCACACTCAGATAATGCCTTGATATTCTGGAATATAGGGCTGTGTGGAAGGGCCCAAAGTGTTTGATTTAGATAACCCAGTTCAAAGCAGATATTGTGGGATTTTCTGCCTTGATATTCTGGGAGATAGAGCTCCGTGGAAAGGTTCTGGGTTATCTGGGTCCACACTCAAGATAGAGTGGGTTTTTCTGCCATGATATTCTGGGATATAGGGCTGTGTGGAAGGGCCCCCAATTCAAAGCAAATATTTTGGGATTTTCTGCCTTGATATTCTGGGTTTTATGGCTGTGTGGAAAGACCGGAGAGGAATAATCTGCTGAAACTCTTTTTGTTGCACAAGCATTAGAACCACAACTCTGACCCTGACCAAATTTTGCATAAAAGGACCTCAGAAGCCCTTTATTTTATGGTTCATGCAATTAAATCCTTCCTCATCCCGGATCCCCCTTCCCAAAAATTTACATTGCCCAATCTCCCAGTGTTTTAAAATTTTATTTTTGATTTTGGCCCTGCCCAGTGTAATCTTTTGTGTTTATTGTTTGTTTTTATATTGTTATGTTGCTTATTATATTGGTTTTGCATTCTATGCTTTTATTTTTTAGTTCTGTTATGCTTTTGCGTTATACTGTGTTTACTGTACTGATGGGCATGGCCTCATGTAAGCCACCCTGAGTCCCCCTGGGGGGAGATGGAGCAGGGTATAAATAAAGTATTATTATTATTATTATTATTATTATTAGTCCCAGGGCCCACATAGCCATATAACCCAGAATATCAAAGCGGATAATCCACAGTATTTGCTTTGAACTGGGTTATCTGAGTCCACACTGTCATATAATCCAGTTCAAAGTAAATAATGTGGGACTTTATATAGCGGCATGGAAGGGGCTCTTCCACACAGCCCTATATCCCAGAATATCAAGGCAGAAAATCCCACAATATCTGCTTTGAACTGGGTTATTTGTGTCCACATGTCATATAATCCAGTTCAAAGCAAATAATGTGGGACTTTATAAAGCTGCATGGTAGGGGCCCCTGGGCCCTTCCACACAGCCCTATATCTGAGAATATCAAGGAAGAAAATCCCACAATATCTGCTTTGAACTCAGTTATCTGTGTCCACACTCAGATATTGTGGGATTTTCTGCCTTTATATTCTGGGATATAGGGCTGTGTGGAAGGGCCCAAAGCATTTGAGTTAGATAATCCAGTTCAAAGAAGATATAGTGGGATTTTCTGCCTTTATATTCTGGGATGTAGGGCTGTGTGGAACGGCCCAAAGCATTTGATTTAGATAATCCAGTTCAAAGCAGATATTGTGGGATTTTCTGCCATTATATTCTGGGATATAGTGCTGTGTGGAAGGGCCCCCAGACTGGGTACATCTACACTGCAAAATTAATGCAATTTGACACGACTTGAAGTGTCATGGCTCAGTGCTATGGAATTATGGGAGGTGTGGTTCTACAAGAGTCCCTTCCAGACAGGCCCTATATCCTAAGTCCTCAAACTAAGGCCCAGGGGCCGGATGCGGCCCTCCAAGGTCATTTACCCGGCCCTCGCTCAGGGTCAACCTAAGTTTGAAATGACTTGAAAGCACACAACAATCCTATCTCATCAGCCAAAAGCAGGCCCATACTTCCTATTGAAATATTAATAAGTTTATATTTGTTAAAATTGTTCTTCATTTTAATTATTGTATTGTTTTTAAGTGTTGCATTACAAGTAAGATATGTGCAGTGTGCATAGGAATTCATTTATGTTTTTTTTCAAATTATAATCCGGCCCTCCAACAGTTTGAGGGACTGTGACCTGGACCTCTGTTTAAAAAGTTTGTGGACCCCTGTCCTATGATATGATCCCAGATTTGCTGCTTAAAACTGTTTAAGGAGCTCCATTGGCTGCCGTTTACCTACTGAGCCCAATTCAAGGTGCAGGTGCTTACCTACAAAGCCCTAAACGGTTTGGGACCTGCCTACCTGCGTGACTGCATCTCTGTATATGAACCGGAGAGGCCCTGCTCATGATTCCACCTGCGTCGCAGGCTCGTTTGGTTGGGGAAGAGAGACAGGGCCTTCTCTGTGGTTGCCCCCCGACTTTGGAACACCCTCCCCAAAGACATTAGACTAGCACCCACGTTGGCAGTCTTTAGGAAGAACTTGAAGACCTGGCTATTCCGATGTGCCTTTCCAGAATAGGATAACCTCCAGCACTACATCCCAGAAGCACTTTATTAGAGTTTAAGACTCTCTGCACATTGCACTTGCCCAGAATCCCAACATATCACCTCACACACCCAGCACTTTTTAACCCGTCATTGGCCCGGCCCTGGTTTTATTGTGTAATAGTGTAATGTTCTGTTTTGTTATTGCTTATGTTTTTAATTTGCTTTGCATTGTATTGTTATTGTCTGTTGTTGTTGTTGTGTTGAGGCCTTGGCCTTTGTAAGCCGCATCGAGTCCTTCGGGAGATGCTAGCGGGGTACAAATAAAGTTTAATAATAATAATAATAATAATAGGACTCTAAGATCTTCTGGGGAGGCCCTGCTCTCGATCCCGCCTGCGTCACAAGCACGGCTGGCGGGGACGAGGGACAGGGCTTTCTCTGTGGTGGCCCCTCGGCTGTGGAACGCCCTTCCCATGGACGTTAGATCAGCCCCTTCGTTAATGGTGTTTCGTAGAAAACTAAAAACCTGGCTGTTTGAACAGGCGTTCAGATAAACAGTGCAATGTACACGATGAATATAGGATATAGGAATATAGGAACGGAACTATGGATGACGAATTTGGATCACGATTTGCTAATGTGTTGGTATTGATGTGTTATTACCATGTATACTATGTTGTTAATGGTTTTTTAAAATTTTGTATGTTGTTGGATTGACTTTTTGCTCTTGTTGTGAACCGCGTTGAGTTGCCTACGGGCTGAGAAACTGCGGTATACAAGCAAAGTAAATAAATAAATAAATAATAAATAATAAGTCCCCACTGCCAGATAATCTGGAATAAACAGATAACCTGGGACCAGATCCTGGGATATAGGGTTTATCTGGAAGGGCACAAGGCGGGCCTGGGCAAACTTGGGCCCTCTAGGTGTTTTGGACTTCAGCTCCCACAATTCCTAACAGCCTATCGGCTGTTAGGAATTGTGGGAGTTGAAGTCCAAAACAGCTGGAGGGCCCAAGTTTGCCCAGGCCTGGCCCAAAATCTTTCGCTTCCTCTGCCAAAGAGAGCTGGGGGCCTCACCAAATTACAAACATCCTGGATTTCCACAGGAAAGTGGAGTCAAACTGCATTGATTCTGTAGTGCAGCTGCACCTTGGAGAAGATGAATTCACAGAGGCGGGGCGCAACCTCCTTGCAGCTGAGGTTCATTCCTTTCATCCACTTACCGGAGGGAGGGGGGAGAGGTGGGCGCAACAGCTGAGGTGGAGGATGGCGCGCGCACAGGGTGTTCCTTCCGGGTCAGAGCAGCAGAGCCGGAAGTGCCCGGCGGTTGCCGTGGAAACGGGGGCCGCGGCGGCAACATGGCCGGCCTCAGCTGGTTGGAGGCCTTGCGTGCAGCTCGCAAGACGGCCCTCGTCAGCGATGGTGAGGGGCGGGAAGGGGGCTCTGCAAAAGAGGACAGGGGACTTCTCAGTCACTGCAGAAGGGATGTCGCTTCGGTGCTATAGAGCAGGCCTGGCCAAGCTTGGGCCCTCCAGGTGTTTTGGACTCCAACTCCCACCATTCCTAACAGCCTCAGGCCCCTTTCCTTTTCCCCCTCAGTCGCTTAAGCTGAGGGGGAAAAGGAAGGGCCTGAGGCTGTTAGGAATGGTGGGAGTTGGAGTCCAAAACACCTGGAGGGCCCAACTTTGCCCAGGCCTGCTCTACACTTCAGTATGCATTTGGATAGTCATGGCTGATATTTGTGGTTTCCTGCTAAGCATAAGTGGTAACAGGGATATGGACCAGTGGAAATGTTATAGTGTAGGACTTATTTCCCCCCCTGTACTTCCTTTGTGTTTTGCTTACTCAGGCAAACGAAAAATCCATTACTTGTTTACTGATGGGAAGGAGATGGCGGAAGAGTACGACATGAAGACCAACCAACTGTTCTGTAAGCCTTTCTTTCTTTGGGATTTAAAACTTGGTTGCAAAAATTGATTTGTTAATGGTACAAAACAGGGATTGATGAGGAGAATCTTAGGAAATTAATGTGGACCACAGCAAATAGGTCAGCTCCAAATGGTGTTCATCATAATATGGCCCTGGTGGCACAGCAGGTTAAACCGCTGAGATGCTGAACTTCCTGACCGAAAGGTTGGGGGTTCGAATCCAGGGAAAGGGGAGAGCTCCCACTGTTAGACCTAGCTTCTGCCAACCTAGCAGTTTGAAAGCATGCAAGTGTGAGTAGATCAATAGGTGCAGCTTCTGCACGAAAGTAATGGCGCTCCATGCAGTCATGCCGGCCACATGACCTTGGAGGTGTCTATGGACAATGACGACTTTTCGGCTTAGAAATGAAGATGAGTACCACCCCCCAGAGTCAGACGTGACTAGACTTAATGTCAGGGGAAATCTTTACCTTTACCCATGGCTTTAGATGAAGTTGTTTGAGACTTGGTTCTACTAACATGGCAACATTTCCACTAGAACAGGAGTCCTCAAACTATGGCCCAGGGGCTGAATACGGCCCTCCATGGTCATTTACCCGGCCCTTGCTCAGGGTCAGCCTAAGTCTGAAATATCTTGAAAGCATACAACAACAACAACAACAATCCTATCTCATCAGCCAAAAGCAAGCCCACACTTCCCATTGAAATACTAATAAGTTTATATTTGTTAAAATTGTACTTCATTTTCATTATTGTATTATTTTTAAGTGGTTTTTGCACTACAAATAAGATATGTGCACTGTGCATAGGAATTAATTTATGCTCTTTTCAAATTATAATCTGGCCCTCCAACAGTTTGAGGGACGGTGACCTGGCCCTTTGTTTAAAAAGTTTGTGGATCCCTGCACTAGAAGGTCAGGCACACTTCATAGAATGGATGCTGTCCAAGTATGCCCTTGTATGCATGAGGTGCAGACTTAATGCAGTTTGACATCACCTTAACTGCCTATGAGAATTGTAGTTTTACAAGGTTTTTAGTCTTCTCTGTCCAGAAGTAATGGTCCCTCACCAAATTATAATATCCAACATTACAGGGAAAATACATAGCAGCTTGGTGAATACTGTCCCAGCTTCCCCATCCCACTTAACTGTTCCACTGTCACTGTGATCAACAGGAGTGTATTTGTGCTCCTAATACTTGAGAAGTAGCTAATGTTCTCACACCCCTCATGCAAGTGATCTTCGCTCATTGTTGCAATAGGGAGAAACAGTCCCTATTGTCACCCCTCCTCCTTGTAGCAGAGATTGCTTACACAAGGGTGGATGTGTAAGAACCATCATGTCACAGATGTGGATATCATAGCTTTAAAAATATCTTTCAGTGTCATTGTCTGAGGGGGTGGATGGAGGAAGACTTGAAAACCAGTGGAAGTGACAGGCCTGGTGAAGATGGCCTTAAAGTGAGGCAGAGACCTGGTGCTAAAGTAGTGGGCTGAGACTGTTGGAGGGAAAGAAAACAGAGAGGATGTAGAGGATGAGCCACTGGTTGCCCAGCCCTGCTGTGGCTTCTGCAAATCTCCATTAATGATGTTGTGCTTTTTTACTTTCTCCTTTAGAAGAAAGATTATATTGAATGAGATTTATGTAGCAGCCGGTAAGAATTGTAGTCTGTTGTTATCGTCCTCGAGAAGAAGGATGATACTGAAGGAGATTTTTGCAGCAGGAGTTGAGAATTGTAGTCTGGCACCTGCATGTTTTGGAAGAGGGGGTGTTTAGATACAGTAACATTTTTTGCAAACTCATGGGGATTTTGTGCCTCAACTCGCATGGAGGGCAGATTGCAATTAGATGCCAGTTAGCTTGGGGCACATGAAACTTTCCTGTATAAATATTTTCAAGAAAATTATTTTCGCTATCTAACAGTTTTTATTCATTATTTTTTCAACCATGTGACCCAATTGTAAAATGATCCCAACTATATAGCATATGATATTACTCCTTGAAGTGTCAAGAATACCCTTTCCAACACAAATCTGCTACAAATTTGTTGATGTTTTACTCAAAGAACAATTTAAGGAGGCGCTGCTCCTTACCCTTTCCCTTTTCCGCAGTGAGGAAATGGAGAGAGAAGAATACCCTAGGTGCTTCTGGCAACTGGCAGATTGAAGTGGGAGAACCAAACTTGTTTGTGCCAGCTACACTGGATCGTGACCTTATAAAAGAGAGTAGTAGCAATGTAAGTAAGGTTTAGCTTACTTATAGCTAAAGTTTGAATGGCTCTGATTTTTCAAGTAACATATTGAGTATTTTGAGGTTGTTTGAATTCAGACACTTGATTTCATCCCAATATCATGTCACTTATCCAAGAGCTGGGATGTCATTTTTGTGAGGATATCCCCAAGGTTAGAAACCTCATGTATAGTTCTGTTTGATGACTTCAGGACTCTGAAGAATATGTGGGATGACTTGATTGCTAATATACATTTATGAAACTCTGTTGTACTAAATTGAAAATATTATTGCATGAACCCCAATATTGCCTTATTTATAAATTTCATATCCTTCATTTCAAATTCCCACGCACCATTCAGAAGAACTCAACATACAATATAAAATCATAAATTCAATTAAAGATATGACACAAAGGCAACAGAAAGCAAACACAGTTTGGAACAAAACAAACACAGTAGGAAAAAGCTACCAAGGTGAATTGTCATCATGAATTCTGAGAAAACAGAATGGAGCGCCCCATACGGTTTGGAGCTAGGAGTTTGACAATAATTAAACTGGCAGCAGCTTAATGAGAATGGAGTCTTATGTGGATCTGGGGGTCTTGCTGTATTGAATACTGTATTGAATACCCCCTCACAACGGCAAAACCCATACCTGCAATTCCATTTACCTAAATGGGAGCCCCCAGTGGCGCAGTGGGTTAAACCCTTGTGCCGGCAGAACTGAAGACTGACAGGTCATAGGTTCGAATCTAAGGAGAGCATGGATGAGCTCATTCTGTCAGCTCCAGCTCCCCATGTGGGGACATGAGAGAAGCCTCCCAAAAGGATGGTAAAACATCAAAACATCTGGACGTGACCTAAAGTACACCTTATAAATTGGCAGTTCTAATTTGATTTTGGAATTCAGCTTCAGTATAACAGAAGTCTTATTAATAAAAACAAGCACCTTATGGGAGGAGACCAGGAATCCTCACTTATGCTGTTGCAAGAATGCTTATATACGTTTACTATCTATTCCACCAGAGTAGAATGGGGGTGACTGAACATGTACATTTTCTTTAGCCTGTCTTTATGAGAAAAGACACGAAGAGCAGTTTCCAGTGGCGGATCCGGAACCTACCATATCCCAAAGATGTATACAGTGTTTCAGTGGAGAAGGATCAACGTTGCTGTGTGGTCCGGACGACAAATAAGAAGTCAGTAAGCAGGGTTCACTGAGGGTGGGATCCAGTTGTTACAGTTTAGAGCCTTAAATAAACTCCCAGACCTGGAGACAGTGGCATGCACACCCTTTCTTACAAAATTCAACAACTTCTGCTCTTCCTAGTTAACAACATTGTTAGAAATTGAAGCAAGTTTGTTCCTAATTGTTGGTAATTCACTTCTCATTTCTTGTTCCTAACCAATTTTTATGTAATCCCTGAAGATTGCCTAGAGGTGGTGCTGTTGGCAAAGGCCTGTTCTTTTCTGTTTGGCTGTGTAGCTTAAGGTTTGCTAGAGTTCTTCTGAGGGCAAAGAGTACTATTAATCAGTGACAGTAAAGAACCAGGGATATAGCCAGGACTTGTCAAACACTTCACAATGAAGGCCAGACTACATTAACCCTGTGGGCCCTTCCACTTAGCATCTTTCCTTCTGATTGCTATTAGCAGGTGCAGGATTGGGTTCCTGCTGCTCTGTGGCCTCTTCTTCATATGTATAGAGGTGCTTAAGTACTTGTTGATTTCAGCAGCCCTTGAATTTCTCTGCTTTTTACAGAATCTCATAGTGGGTCTCGTAACACTAGAATTCAGGGTCAGTCACCCAATAAAATTGATTAGTAGTAGATTTCAGGACGGCACAAAAGAAAGTACTTCTTCACATAACCCATAAATAACTTGTGGAATTTGCTTCCACAAAATGAGTTGATGGTCACTGGCTTAGGTAGCTTTCAAAGGGGATTAGACACATTCATGGAGGATAGATCTACCAATAGTTATTAGACATGATAGGCAAATGGAATTTCTGTGTTCAAAAGCAGTCTCTCTAAATAGTAGGAAAAGAATCAGGGCTCTTTTCTTCATGTTCTACTTGTGGACTGCTAGCTAATGCTGGAAATAGTATGCTGATCTAGCTTTGAACAGATCCTGTAGAGCAGAGGTCCTCAAACTTTTTAAACAGAGGGCCAGGTCACAATCCCTCAAACTGTTGGAGGGCCGGATTATAATTAAAAAAACCATGAATGAATTCCTATACACACTGCACATATCTTATTTGTAGTGCAAAAAGCACTTAAAAACAATACATTAATTAAAATGAAGAACAATTTTAACAAATATAAACGTATTAGTATTTCAATGGGAAGTGTGGGCCTGCTTTTGGCTGATGAGATAGGGTTGTTGTTGTTGTTGTTGTTGTTGTGTGCTTTCAAGTTGTTTCAGACTTAGGCTGACCCTGAGCAAGGGCCGGGTAAATGACTTTGGAGGGCCATATCCGGCCCCCAGGCCTTAGTTTTAGGACCCCTGCTGTAGAGCATCTCCTTATGATAACATTTAATCATGTGGAGACTTGAACATAGATGCCCATGTTAACTGTTGGAGTTAAGATCACATATCTTTGCACAGAACATGACAGTTTGTCATTTATTTGGAAAATGGCCCCGAAGAGTGCAACGAAGAAAGGAAGTAGAAAAGCTGAATATCAGCAATACTGTTTTACAAGTGAGGTGGTATCATCCCTTGAACCACTTGAGTGTTGTTGCTTTTAGGGGTATTTAATTGTATAGCTGCAAAAGAAATTTTAGAAAGCTAAGATAATGTGGTAGCACACATTTGCAATGCTTTGTCCTTTACTGTCATTAGTTCCTATGGATGTCAGTTTCAGATATTTTAAACTTTTGTAATGTGTGTTTAAAGCCCCAAGTGTGATGTAGCAGGTCTTGTAACCAGATCTTAATAATTTCTTTCACAAAAGAAATCAATTTGCACTGCAACCAAAAACTAAGGATCCTATACTAAGTGGCCACTGTTGATTTAGATGAAAAGCAGTGCTTAGCTAAAACAATAGTAGTCTGGCACATGATGTTGCACAATATACAAATTGAGTATCCCTTATCTGAAATGCTAGGGATCCAAAGTTTTCTTTATTCTGGGGGGTTTGTTTTGTTTTAATTTTGGAATACAGGCAGACCCCAAGTCATAAACATCCAACTTACCAATAACTCATAGTTACAAGCAGGGGTGAGCCAACAGGAAGTGAGAGAAATCTACCCCTAGGGAGGGAAACTCACTCCTGAAAGAGTTATCTTGGGGAAAAGGAGTCTCTAATGAAGCTTTATCACCAATCCTTGTTTCCACAGCAAGCCATTTTTTTTTCAAAATCCAATTATCACAGGGACAGAAAGTGAGGGGAAATCTTCTGAACAAGGGCACAGGCAATAAAACAACAACCACAAGGGTGTTAACTCTTCTTGTTTTTCTCATTTTTTTGGCTGGAGTTATAGTTAAAATGTACCTGTTGTGACTTACAAACAAATTTAAGTTAAGAACAAACGTACAGAACCTATTTTGTTTGTAACTTGGGGGACTGCTTGTACTTGCATATTCATAATGAGGTATCACTGCAATGGGGTGCAAGTCTAAACAAAAAAATCATTTATGTTTCATATACATAAGCAATTGTATATACTGTATTTTAAATAATTTTGTGCATGAGACAGTTGGTTTACATTGATCCATTAGAAAGCAAAGGTGTCACTATCTTAGCCACCCATGTGTACACTTTGAAGTAATTCCAGATAAGGTATACTCAAATTGTGCTCCAATTTTTGGGCCGTTTAATACTTCAACAGGGAATTCATTGTAGCTTTTTCACCAGCAGTGCCATCAAGAATAAAAAGATGAGGCACAAAACACAGTGGGGATATCTAAAATCTTGTAGGGACTATTCAATCAAACCATGGACCAGAGCTATCAGAACTGTGTGTGTCATGGTGTGTTGCACAAACATAATGAGAAATGACAAAATCTTGGAAATGTAAGTTATTATCTTACAAATCATATATTTTAAAAAATATAAATGAAATATTGGCCAAGCAACCACATCTTGAATTGATAGGGTTGCCTCTGTAGTTTGAAATCTCTTAACACGGGGCCTACTCTAAAAAAAAAATTCAAAGTGAGATTGGGTGATCTCTCTCTTTTGAGGCACTTTTATTGTGAAATTTCATTTCCATCAAGTCCTCTCAGGCCATGGCATTATCTTCTCTGATTTTTAGAATGCCAGCAAAGTTCTTTGTTTTTTCTAAATTTTATAGTTACAGATGGCTACCATTGGGGTATTTGTCCATTCTTTTTAATTTCCTGTGTCAGTGTTTCTATCTTTACAATATGGGATGATATTATCATAACTGTTTTTTAAGTGGTAATATTGGGGAAATCCCCTGAATAACAGGAAATGGGTAGAGTTAAGTTACTTGTGTTCAATGTTTTTGACTTTTCTCACTTGTTTTGTAATTTGTACAGCAAGTGAAGGAATGCTGCAGTATGTATGTGGCCTTGTGTATAATTGTTCAGCCCTCAGTATTTTTAGCAAAACTAGACACCTTTTTTTGTCTAGGTATAATATTGGTTATACCCCATGCCAGTTATTGCAACCGTAGTAAATAATGGTTTCTAGCCTGCACTTAAGCAGAGTCCTATGGGAGTACAGTTAACACTTCGAGGGCAAAAGGGGATGCCCTAATGTCTTTAACAGTTGCATGGCAGGTAGCAACTCAACAGATAGTGCTTCCCTGTCTTGAAGATGTGGCAAGGGGATATATTTGAACCCATAGAAGGCTTAGGATGCAGCTGTTAAAGGTACAGGAGCCTTATTAGAACAGAGCTGCCTAAAGGGACCTTAAAAAGAAAATATTGCTGCCCACTCCAACTCATTCATTGTTTGTTCCCCTCCAGTCACAGCAAAGGGCTGCTCAAGTGGGATTTGCTTCAACCCTCTTGCTGTAAAACAAATCCATTAAGGCAAACTTTCCAAACAAACAGGCAAAGCCTCTGTGGCCACAGCAGATTCAATTATTGTAGGGCAAGGTAGCAGTTAACATTATACTGAAAGGGGGTAAAGCAGCAGATCTGTTTTCCTTTGATCTTTCACAGATTTGAGTTGGAGACTTGGCCAGGTATTTTCCCACTGCTCCAGCCCTGGGGAAGGGTGGGGGGCAAAGTTGGTGTTCCCAGTGAAGGCTCCCTAGGTTCTTTGAAACACAGGGCTTTGGGGGGGGGTACTTTTTATTGTCTCAATCAGTAAGAAGTTAACACTTCCTTAACATGTCTTTGTGTTCATCTAATCTTTGCTGTTTAACCTTTGACACCCCCATTATTATCCATGTCTGCCACCTTTCCCAAATGCACGCAGAAAGCCCCAAGCCCTGCGGTAACATACATTCCTCCCTCGCAAGCAAGGCAGCCAGGGCTGGATGGCCTTTGTATGCATTTTCGTTAAGGCTTAGGAAAGAAAGGGTTCATGTTTTGTGCTGTAGCAGTTCAAGCAGTCAACCTCCGAGCAAAACCATCTTAATGGAGAAGGATGGCTCATGGATCTGACACCAGGAAATAAATTCTCCTGTTCACTTTGTATCACCAGAAACATGTCAATGATGGAGGGAATTTCACAAGGGAAGAGTTCAAAGTAACAAAGAGGAGGGGGGTGGGTAAATGACAGGAATCCCAGAGGGGGAAAATAATAATGTTCTTCCCTCATGGTTAAGTTGTGGTTGGAAGAAGATAAGGCAATTCAAACAAATGACTGATGAATAAAGCAACCATGTTTACAGTGGGACCTTGGTATCTGCTGGGGTTTGGTTCTAAGTTCTCCACAGACAGCAGAATCCATGAATGCATCAGATCTATTATATATAATGGCAAAGTAAATGGTATCCATGATATAAAATGGCAAAATTAAAGGGTTTTTTTGGAAGTTTTCTGTGGATGGTTGAAGTTTTGGATGCAGAAGCCATTGGTACGAAGGGCTTACTGAATGTCTATATATACATGGGAAGGGAAGAGAGTGTGTCATTCCAAATTCAATGCGATCTAAAATAAGAGAGGCATCTTGCTACCCTTTGACTTTGTGAGCCAAGAGACTAATCCATTTACCAATAATCTTAGTATTGTATTTGGAAAATGCAGCTATCACCTCATTAGGAAACTGAAAGTCAAATGATAGCATAAACGTGGTATGATTGATTGAAATCACATAATGAATCAAATGTAAATATGGGCGGCATGCTTTCCTCATTTTGAGATAATGTGCACTTGTTGGAGCAGGCAACATATTAAGAAGAGCCCTCCTTGTGTCACACAGCAGGAAATACTTAAATTATTACTTAGATTTTATATGCAGCTGTAGAAAAATAACATTTGTTGGCCAATTAGTTGGGGACATCCATTAATTCAAGAAAGCGTGTCACATGCATCCTTGACCCTTTTCCTATATACTCAGTCACTGGGTCTGTTGATGTTATCTGTAGTCCGATTGGCTTCAATTTATGATCACTTTAAGACTACCACAATTTTTTTTTAAAAAGGCAAAATTTCCCCCAAATAAGCCCCAAACAAGAAAAATATAATTCAATATCACAACACCACAAAATTACAAATGTAGTCAAAAGCCAACCAAACCCTCAGGAAATTATCCTGGTCGTTCCAGGCTTTTATTTTCTGCCAAAAACATGATGAAAATTGACCCCTTCAGCAGTTATCCACTTCTGCTTTCATTATATCAAAATATTATTTCAGCCAGTTAGATAGTGTAAGAAAGTGCTGAGCATCTTAGCTACAGAATGAGAAATAATATTCATTCTGTTCAGTGTTTCTCTGATTTAAAGTTATTTTTTAAATTAGAATCAATTTTTTTCTAAACTGAGAGCTCCTGTTAGTGCAGGAAGTTGTGTCAAACCTGGTCTTACTCCCCCATTCTCTTTCTCATTTGCTTTCAGGTATTACAAAAAGTTCTCAATTCCTGACCTAGACAGGTTCCAGCTGCCCTTGGATAGCACTGCTCTGAGCTTCACACATGCCAACAACACTTTGATCATCACAGTAAGTACCCATAAGGCTGAACTATAAGTATTATCATCTCACAGTTTTTTGTTTTTGGTTTTTTTGGCGATGTTGCCCATGTAAAAAGGCATATTGTCACTCTGTCACTGCAGTTCTTTGAGTTGCAGTCTGTTTGTTCAAGCAGGTGGGGGTCTGTGTCCATGCCAAGCTTAGTTATTGCCTTCCCATTCCATAATGTGCCTACTTGAGAGTGTAGCGGTAACTTCTTTCCTTGCTTCGTTCCCACCCTACTATTGAAACATAACATGGTTGGAGTGTATGTTGTGTGAATTCAGAAATTACCAGTCAGAGCACAGCAGCCTGTTGACTTCTTATTTTTTGTGATAAACACATGGAAGTCTAACAAGCTGACTTACTAAAGGTGGGTTGATGTCAAAACAGGAAAGAGGTAAGTATCCAGTGGTGTGTGTTTTCCCAGAAAAAGTAGACCTGGAAAATTTTCTGGAAGTTCTGTGTTCAAAATAATGTTAGCTGATTGAGTACATTAAGTTTACATTTTACATCCAAACCATTAAAAGCTTTATACAGAAATTATTATATTTGGGTATTTATAAAAAATGTAAAGTGAATGTTATATACTTCCCTTATATTTAACAATGAATTCAGTTCAATATATGAATGTGAAGGAACACTATTTTTTAATGATTCACACACTGCTAGTGGACATAACTGCTAGTTATGTCAACTAGCAGTTCAACTTTATTTTGCTGAGGTATAATTCCAGAATTTTCAGCTTCACTCAATCACTGTCTATGTGACATTCCTGTTTGTGAAAGAGGTAAGATTTCAGTATTTTTTCTTTTCTATAGTATCAAAAACCAAAGGAGATTTTGGCTGCAGAGGAAGAATTACAGAAGGAACTGAAAAAGATCAAGGCAGCAAACGATGGAGATGGAGAGTGCAAGACACAATAATCAACCAATACAGAATGCTTTTTCTCCCTGTACATATTTTGTTACTTTTACTTTTTACTATTTGCTAAACATGTTGGATGGAGATACATTTGTTGGGAAATTATTTAGTGATCTTCATATATACTGTATGAACACCGCTGTTGACACCCAGCCTGTGTGAAAAGGAACAGTTTTCTAGAGGTAAGGCTTTCAGGAATTTGCTTTCAACACTCCTGGATGAACAAAAAGCTGCCATATTAGCACAAGTACATTAGTTATTTTAGAAATCTACAACTTGGTTTTTGACAGCTCTTGAGAATGTGAGTGCACCTTACATTAAATGGCTACAACTTCTCCTTAACTGCTGAGTAAGGGTAATATTGAGGGAAGGGCCAAGCAAAAAATCTTAGGTGTATCTGCAGTTACCTTTGCATTTACTAAAAAGATGTCAATACTTGAATTTTCTCCAAAACATAGGATGTCTGGTATTTCTCCTACCATTTGTGCCATAGAAAGCTCTTATATATACTTGGTGTGTAAGTTGAGGGCAGGCTTTAGGGTCAAACCCTTATACATGATATGACCCATGTATAAGTCAGGAATCATTCAATAGAGAGGGGAAAGCACGAGCATGGCCTCAGCAGGCCAGTACATTTTTCCACCCAGACATTCCAGAAGGCTCTGCTTTAAAAAGGTGATTCTCCCTCTTTTGATACAAATTAAAGTATGGTATTAACTTTTATTTTTAAAAGGAGCTGTCCCGTTCTTAGAGTGGCATGGTGAAAAGTGAGAGCATAGTCTATCCTGGGAGAGGTTATAAGAAGTACTGACCCACCCCCACCCCTTTCAATGAATGTAGTTGTCATCACATGCTATCATTTATACCACATTTTGATTCTGTGTGAGTTTTTTTCTCTTTCACTGATATGGAAAATATGTAAGCATATAAATGTTGAGTATCCCTTATCCGAAATTCTTGGGACCAGAAGTGCTTTGGATTTTTGAATATTTGCATATACACAATAAGAATATATTAGAAATTGGTCTGAACATGAAATCTGTTTATGTTTTATATACACATAACCTGGAGTCAATTTTATCTACAATAATTTTAACGTTTTTGTGCTTGAAACAGTTTGTGTACGTAGAACTATCATAAAGCAAAGGTTCATAAGTCCAGCTACCCAAGTGGACAATTTTGGATTTTGAACGACCAGATAAGGGACGCTCAACCTTCATAAGCCGCCTGCTTGCCTACTCTATGAGAAATATTTTCTTGCATCAGAGAGACACACAGGAGCAGAAGGTGTGCTTGCATACCTTTATGCTGCCAGGAACCACAATATCTGAAAATTTCAGTTACATCTGGTGCTTTTGCTCCCAATTGTACAAGCACAGTCATTTCTCACCTCACACGGAAATAGCAGCTATTAAAATGTAATAGTAACAAATAAGATCAATAAGTGGAAACTACAACAAAATGTAGTCAGTATTCTGGGTTTTCACCATTTAATCCCTCTTCCAGCACTGCTTCCTCCATTCTCTGGGTATCTGGAACTAAGAACTGTACTGTTTACAAGGGGGAAGCTATTCATTGGTCTTACTTATGAAGGCTAATTTTGGATTTTGTTGGTACCATTCTCAGTCTGTGCTGTGTTCTGCCGTTATACATTCTGAGCATATATAAAGGGAGTTCCATTATTACTACAGTTGACTGAACCTCACATACCTTGATTTATGGATAAAGAATTCTTGATATTTTAGTGCCGTCATCCATTCAGAGTATCCCTTATCTTATTGTTTTGTCACTAGTTAGTTAATGGTGTTGAAATCCAAGGGACTGAAACAATACATTTCATGCATAAACTTTCACAGTTTATTCAGCATGTTGACCTAACAGTATCAATTCAAGGAAGCATTCTGTTCAGTGTCAGACCATAGCTATTACATTTGGTACAACTTGCACAAAGCCAACTAAGGCTTCAGTCTTAAAACACTGTTCATTTATGAGGCAGTGATGAGTATCAGTAAAGCAGAAGTAAAAGGATATTTATTAGCCACTTCACTGTCCAGGGTACTTCCTCCTAAACTAACACCAGCAGATGAACACAGTGCAACTTGCAGCACACAAAGGTGGATGTTAAAAAAGACTGCACACATCTTCAATTTTCCTGAATGATGTTTTCATATAAATAAAACCAGCAACAGAACCCCCATATGTATAAAATAAGAGTCGGCAGGAGACCTTACTCTTAATGAAACCAGAAGGCAAGTATATTTCTCTACACAGGGTTTTCCTTAGCACTTTGTGATTTTCAGTCTGCTTGTTGTCTGAAAGACATTTTCTTCTTTGTACTCCCTGAGCTGGATATCAGATCTGCAAGTCCAGGGCAATCTCTGTCAGGAGGTGGTGAAATCGAGGCAATACAGTGCAGATGCCAGACTGGCATAGAGATGCGTGGTGCTGAAGCGTAGACAATAAACAGGACTGCTAACAGGAGATGACAAGAAGAAGCTCTACAAAAAAAAAATTGACAAATTTGGCACTTAAATCATTTAACCCATTCAGTAGTTAGGGAAATGATAAAATGGCATGTAGCATCCAACATTTCTTTCAGTTCTGTAAATCTACAATTATGATGGTAGCATTACCATTTTTTCTGAGCAATATTAGTTCAAGATAGCATCAACAACTTGAAAAATCACAGCTATATATATGAGAGGCACATCTTTAGCTCCTCATTTTTAACTATCAACTCCAATAACCTCCCATCTATCATGGCCAATGACAAGACAGTAGGAGCTGCAGTACAAAACGTCCAGTGCCAGAGGTTCCCTATCCTTAGATACATGCATGTATGAAACTGGGCCATGCCCAAAGCTTTCCCACATTGTGCCTATAGACAAGAAATTAAGACCTCTTATGCTAGTACTCCAATCGTAAAGTTCATTTTGAATACTTTTTAGCTCTAGAGCAGTGGTTCTAAACCTGTGGGTCCCCAGGTGTTTTGGACTACAACACTCAGAAATCTCAGCCAGTTTACCAGATGTTGAGATTTCTGGGAGTTGAAGGCCAAAACATGTGGGGACCCACAGTTTGAGAACCACTGCTCTAAAGGTAAGAGGGATGATGACAATTGACATGTAACATTTCCTCCTAACTTTATTGGAACTGTTGTAGCATCCATCGGTCTTTCTACATAAACTCTTATTTAACATAAATATTAGATTTACAAAACAGACTAGGTTTAACAACTTGCACAATACCGTGTCATAAGCTTCATAACAGAATGTGTGTTTGAGCTCCATCTCCTCTATCCAAAGCCATGACTATTTCAGTTTACATGGAACTTGGTGCAGTTCACTTTTTAACATCTGAGAACCTAAGCAATGGTGCCTTACCTGCAAGCATCTAGTTTGCCGTTTATCCCAAAGACGGACCACGCCATAATAAGAGGAGCCACTTGCAATCATGTGATTTCCATCGCTCCTAATGCAGTACAGGGCACTATCATGTGGCTCTTCCCATTTTTTGACACATTCCCTTTGTGGAGGAAAAAAAGTTATGTTACAAGTCACAGTTTTAAGGCATTCTTCACAAGCCCTTATTTTATTAGTTTTTTAATGATTTTGAAAAGGTACTCAACAAATTTAGCAACAATAGTTTTTTTTTGAGTAATATAAAAGAGGAAGCAAACTTCAAGACATACCTTGTGCTTGTCCTTAGGTCCCAGTAGCGAATGTAAGTATCGTACCCACAAGACAGCAATGTGGAAGGTGTTTCATAGAAAACATCCAAGGCTCCAGCTCCCCGGTGGAAATCTGTTCCAAGGCAAGTGACCAGCTGCCCGCTGAAAAGACAAACAAGGAATTACATTAGGCCTCCTCTTTGATGTACTACTCTTAGATGAGATTGGTTAAATAATGCTAGTGGACAGACCAAGCACATCAATAGCTAAATGTCCAGTTGCAACATTAGCCATACTGCTACTCATAGTTTCTATATGCTGTATTTCTCTGAGCTTCAACCATTTTTTGTACTCTGATAACAGTTTTGTTGTCTGTTGTGGGAGCAAATGTGTGATCGGCATTAAAGTCTGAGAGTCCATCTCTTTTTAACAAAGCACACCCTGGCAGTATGAGTTGCTTGACAGGACAGACGACCTCAGTTAAGTGGTTGACTCTTTCATTGAACGTTGGGAAATCACCTTCTCAAGAATACGTCTTTAGCTGTGGATTCCTGCACTGGCAAGTGGGTTGGACTCTTCCAACACTTTGAATCTTCATTGTGTTAGCCAAGTTTTGCCACACACACACACACACCCTTCCCACATTAGGCACGAGTGAAATAATATATTCTACAGAAGGTGTGTGTACATATATGTATCTGCATGGCACTAACATTAAGGAGCTACAATTTGCCATTGCTTTCCTTGTCGCTTAGGAAAAAATGTTTGGTACCATGTAAAGTGTTTTTCTTGGTTTCTGATTTTGTCCTGTTCTGAAGAATTGAAGAGGCAATACTTCCACTGGGAAATATTTTACAGCCAATAAGATTTTTCGGGAGCTTCTCTGTAATTATGAAGAGCAACTCCAGAAGTGTTTCATTTCTTCCCCTCTTAGATTCAGTGGCCCAAAGTAGCTTCAAAACAACTATGCAAAGCTGCCTTCACAAATGCCCCATATCATTTATTTATTTATTTATTTATTTATTTATTTATTTATTTATTTATTATTCTTGTATACCGCTGTATCTCAAGCCCGAGGGCGACTCACAGCGGTTTACAAACAGCAAAGACAATAAAAACAGCAATAGTTAATAAACAATGACAATTAATTTACACATTTCCATTAATAACTAATAAGCAATCCCAATACACAATTATCATGACCCTGGGTCAAGCTGCTGAACTTTCCAGAGCTATCTCCCAAAATGTATTCAAGAACAACAAAGTGTTAATTACATAAATGAACAAAATTACATAAATATATACCTTTTAGCAATGCCCTACATAAGTTGTCCATAAGTTGTCCTTTTAGCAATGCCCTACAATATGGGTATACCAGCTGAACCCCTTACCAATTTACTGTATGGTTCTAGAAGTTGGTGGAACCCAGCCAATTTCCCATTTAGTTTATAGGGGGACAACACTATTTCACTTTTGCCTTCCACTAGCAACAGTGATCTCAGAAAGAATTTAGGATAAATGGGAGCCAGCAGAGGTGCCTATGTATAGTAAAAGACTATATATATACACATATGCAAGCAGGTGCAACCCCTGCGACCACTGCCACCCAGGATGTGTCAGAAAGGTTGTACACAGCTTGCTATTGGGAATACATGTGTGGAACAAGACTGAAAGAAAATAAGAATGAGTACGAAATGAGCATGAAAAGCAAATAGATCTAAGGAATAAGAGACTAAAAAAACAACAACAGCCGGGCCCTGGTCCTTCATTACAAGTACAAGGTTTGTCTAGCACAGGGCTCTCTGATTAATTAATACACACTCCTAATTGAGGGTCAACATGCCCCATCTGTCCTCCCCCCGCATCTCCCTTACAAGAGAAAGCCAGGCTGCCACAGTTCTCACTACCACTCAGACAACAGCAGCCAATGAAGCCCATTCAGCCACTAAAGACCCACATGTTCCCAGCCCTTCTCCTCCTCCCTAACGGTCTAATCAAAACTGGACACAAAGCACTGAACGCCTGCTTTTCAGACTATTGCGCTGGCTTTCGCTTCATGGGACAATGCCGCCTCCACTCCCTAAAGCAACTTGCACCTCCCCTGCCTTCCAGTTATTTTGTTACTTTCTGCTCCTTGATCCCGTATCAGTCTTTCTGGGGCACCCGAGCCAGAGGCCTTAATTCCATCTGTAATCTGGGCTAAAACCCCATGGGGGTGGGGGGGATAAAGACCACACAATAGGCAAGATAGAGTCCCAGGAGATGTTCAAACAAGTAAACACCGTTGTGTCAGGGGAGCAAAATTGCTGAGAAAGCAGATTAGCACCAGCAGCACTGGTGTCCCCCAGATCAGAAGGTGAGCCCTGCCCTGTTCGCCAGAGCCAACACGCTTCCATGATCACAGCACCGGCGGCATGCTGAGGCCGGCCCATCTCCCCCAGTCACTCTCCAAAGAGCAGATTACGGAGAATAACAATTTCTTTGTGGCTGTGTAATTCCCTCCGTGACCGTGACTGTGGGCCACTACATCGGGCTGCGATGCCAGGGCCTTAGCAACCATTTAACAAGACCAGTCGGCCCTAGCAATGCTCCCCCCAAAGCAAACTTCTCGGACAAGCTTTAACATCAAGTGCAGGAATTAATCCTCATCCCTCCCCCTGCCCCCAAAACCTGAATCCAGGGGTGCTGTGTTATTGCACTTACATTGTGTTTCTCAAAGCAGGAATTGCTGGACAAGCTCTTAAAACATTAACCCTTGAAAGGAAGGAATGTATCAGGAGGGGAGGGTATCTACAGGATCAGAGCAGGAACGAGAGGCTAAACTCTCATCATCCAGGGAGCATAGGACTCTTACTTGGGAAAACAAAAATATTAGGCCCTTTAAAATGTAGCAGGTTAGATATGGCACTGGAAGCAAAAGAAACTACAGGTGCTATTCTAAGTGTATCTGTTCTAGTCTGCGTACACACAGTGCTCTCTGGCTTAACAGTGATGTGGACTGATGTGACTCTCCAGAGATTTGGATTTCCAAAGATGGAAACTCTCCTGATTTTACCATATTTACCATATTTCCTAACTGGGTCCTTAAAAAGCTCAAATCCCATGTATCTGCTTACAAGACCTTTTTTCAAAATCAAAAGGAAGAACAAGAAAAAATTATTTTTAGGGCTTTTGAGATCAACTTCTATATCCCTAGGTACCATATCCTGATCTTAAAAGCTACTAGGTTCAGCACTGCATATTGTTTGGATGGAGACCACTGAGGAGTAACTAGTGCTCTGGGCTATCTTTTAGAAGGAACCACTTGAAGGAGCACATGTGCACACACACATCCCCAGTGAGCATAATAATAATAATAATAATAATAAACTTTATTTATACCCCACCACCATCTCCTCATGAGGCCAAGCCCAGAATTACAGCACAATAAAATATAATAAAATACAAACAGCAAATAATAGCATCAAAATAAAATACATAAAATAACAGAAAATGAAGTAAACAGATGCAAAATAACATGATGAAGAAATAAAATAAAAGCACGGTGGGCGGGCCAAATGCACAGAATAAGATTGATAAAACCCTGGGTGAGATAAGTAAATGGAGAAGTATGTGTCTGTTGGGGAGCTCAGATGGGGCGGCCAATGGGATTGAGACTTCATTAAAGACAAGGAAAAGTGCGTCATGAGGTCAGAACTATAGTTGGGATGGACATGATATGGGGATATGTGTTAACTCGTCAAAGGCATGCCGGGAGAGCCAGGTTTTTAGGTCTACATCTAAGGTACATCTGTAGAATTAATGATATTTGACATGATTTTATCTGCCATGGCACAATGCTTTAGAATCTTGTAATTTGTAGTTACCAGCTTTTGCTGCCGAAGAGTGCTGGCGCCTCAGCAAATTACAGCTCCCAAGATTCCATGGCATTGAGCCATGGCAGTTAAAGTGGCATCAATCTGCATTAGTCTACACTATAGATGCATCCATAGTCTATGTTAATTGATGCCGCTAGAATACCACAGGTTCTCCACCCATTTTATGCAAATAAGAAACCTAAGGAGTCAGGGAGCAAATATAATATTTAGGTAAAAATGGATTGAAACAAGGCAGGAGTAAACTGTATCCAAAATATGCAGATATATGAGATACAGTGTAATCCTACCTAGTCTCAGTTATCCATAGAATATGATACAAATAGTATGAGGGAAAGAAAGCAAGGAGTACAATAGTTATAACAAAGAAGGGATTCAGCAATTACTGTAATGCTGAAGTGAGTGGGATAAAACAGACTATTGAATGTGTTGATAGATACTGAATCACCCCGAAATAAAATCTTATTAAAGTAAGATCTTCTAATATTGATGCAATTCTCAACTTGTACATGAAATTTTTTTTCTCCTCATATATAGAGATGTAGTGTAGAGCACACTTCAGATATAGGTTGGTAGGTAGGTAGGTAGGTAGATAGATAGATAGATAGATAGATAGATAGATAGATAGACAGACAGATAGATAGATACCGTCTATGTGTAACATTTGCAAAAGTTGAAACTAGAGCAATGGACAGTAGTTGGGAACCTAGTAGACCAACATAGTTATATGCAATATGGTAGATCAGAAAGGATTTGTAATGCCAAGTTATTAAAAAATGGAAGGGTTGATTATTTGTCAAGATCTAATATCATTAATATGTATTTCTTTTCTGCCACAGATTCACAAGATAGCCTTTTGGGAAATCACTCTAAAACTCTACAGTTTATTCCAAGAAAGAAAGAATAATGTGTAAACACTCTGAACATGGTTAGTAAAGGATTCATATTATCACCATCCCCAAGAAATGGCTGGCCAACAAATACTGGTGAGACTGCTTAGATATGTACAAACAAGGTGGAGGAGGGCCAAGGAAATCAAGCAGGTACAATATGCATAAGTCCAAAAATGTCAGAAGACATGTCAATCTAATATCCTACATGCAAAAAAAAAAAAAACATTCCAGTGTTGAGAATGCTGCATTTTAGTAACAGAACATATATTGGAAATCAAGCATCCAAACTACTTGTGTTAAAGTAGAGCTGCATTTCCCAATCCACAATCAATCAATCAATGAAGAAAAATTTTGGAAATTTGGAGAGGATTCTGCAGTGCTTCTCTTACTTTCT